TTATGCTTTAATCCATTCACATATAAAACATTTTTAATTTGTATGGAAGAGGTATTACCTATTGTACCAATACCTTCAATGTGACCTTTTGAATTATCACCAAAAGTCACTTCTCCTCCATTTTTGACGTTAAGCTCTATGAACCGGATTTTGTCTCCGGTCATGTGTCTTGAGCATCCACTATCAAGGTACCATGAATTTGAATTTGTTTCTCGTGCCTTGTAGCAATGCTCCTTTCCCTACAAACATAGATTAATTTTTGATTTTTGGTACCCAAATTCTTTTGGGTCCATATTCATTAGTTTCCAAAATCCTAGTCCCCTTAGGTATCCATTTGTGTAGGATATCTTTATCTTTAGTAGTAATGAGTCCTTTAGGAACCCATATACTTCTAAAGATTTTACCATTTAAGGTTCGTTGAGGATTTCTATGATTGTAGTTTCTAAAATCTTTTCTAACAAAGTTGGATTTTGAATTTTCTCCTTTTTCAAAACGTTTTGTTCCAACTTTATCAAAAGAAGTTTTAAGATCATCAATTTTCTTTTGATGATCATCATTGACCTTTGAAAGTAAATTTTGCAAATCTAAATTTTTCTTTTCAAACTCTTCTAGTTTGATTTGCAAATCTAGTTTTAAGATCATTGTTGGTTTTGGATATGAGTTTATTTTCATTTTTCAACTTTGAAACATCATTTTTATATTTTAAAAATAATTTCTCATAATCCGAAGTCAACCCATTATATTCCTCTAATAGCTCATCATAAGATAAATCATCAAAATCAGATGAGTTAGAGGTTACCTTAGAATCTTCCCCAAATGCCATCAAGCACAAGTTTGCTACTTCTTGTTCCTCTTCATCGGAACCTTCTTCATCGCTCCATGTAGCCACATGAGCCTTGTGCTTATTCTTTGATTGACCCTTCTTCTTCAATTGTGGGCAATCATATTTGACATGCCCTGGCTTTTTTGCATTCATAGCAAATGATCGGGTCCTTCTCTTTTGGTTCATCTTTGAGGCCTTCATTTCGTTTGAATTTTCTTCCTCGGTAAGGTCTCATCATTTTTCTGAACCGTTTGGCAAACAATGCCATTTCCTCGTCATCATCATCATCATTAGAATCACTCTCATCTTTTGTGGATTTGAGAGCAACTCCAATGTTTTTCTTCTTCTCCTTCTCCTTTGGTGTCTCTTCAACTTTATCAAGGTCCACCTCATCTTCAAGCATCATCTCATGAGTGAGGAGTGATCCGATAAGTTCTTCAAGAGTTAAGGACGATAGGTCCTTAGACTCGATGATTGTCGTCTTCTTTGATTGCCATGATTTTGGGAGGGAGTAGACTAACTTCCTCACAAGCTTTTCATTTGAGATGATCTCTCCATATGATTTGAGACCATTGACAATCGTTGAAAATCTATCCGTCATAGCTTTGATGTCTTCATTTGGTTTCATCCTGAAATTTTCATAGCTATGCGTTAGAATACTAATTTTTGATTTCTTTACCTCATCGGTACCTTCATGTGTGACTTGAAGCTTGTCCCATATTTCTTTGGCGGTTGTACACGATGAAACTCTTCCGTATTCATCTGGTCCAAGAGCACAAAAGATAATATGGATGGCTTTGGAGTTGAGCTGGAACATTTTTGTATCTCATTCACTCCACAACCTTGGATGAGTGATAGGCTTAATGTATCCTTCTTCTACGGCATTCCATGCTCCCATGTCACTTGCTTGAATGAAGTACATCATTCTATTCTTCCAATAGGCGTAGTTAGCTCCATTGAAGAAAGGAGGCTTGTTGACGGGCATCGAATCGAGACCGGAGTCGAAGTTTGAAGCGGAGGCCATTGATGACTTTAATAATCGATATAACTCTTCCCGAATCGACTCAAGAGGCGATAAAACCTTCAAATGAGTTAGGCTCTGATGCCAATTGTTGAGTTAATCGAATGACGAAATTGGCCAAGAGGGGGGTGAATTGGCAATAAAAATTTTGTGGAAGCTTTTGCAGAAAATTGAAAGTAATTGCACAGCGATTTACAGTGGTTCGACTTTCTCAAACAAAGTCTACGTCCACTACCTTAGCTATCCACACTAAGGATTTTCCAACAAATTCACTAATTTGTTCTTTCTTTTGAGGCCAAAGAGATAACCTTACAATTCCCTCAAGAGTATACCCCAACTCTTGAGAACACTATTTTCTCAAAGAGAATATTACAAATTTGCAAACTTACAAGAAAACCTCACAAGGTAAGATGTTTGCACAATTCTAGAACAAAGAAAAGAACACTCAAAGATGAATACAATTGAGCAAAAAAAGTGTTCTTGAAAGCAAAATGAATATTGAATGAAAATAGGCTTGAAATGCTCAAACTTGAGGTTTGATGCTTTCTCTTTGATTCTCTCTTGATTCTAGTTGCTTGATGTTTCTTGTTTTTGATCAATGGCTTCTAAGCTTGCTTAAATACACCTTGGATCACTTCTGAACGTTGGGGATAATTAGAGAAGATATTATAGCCGTTTTAGTGTGAAAACATTTAATAAAACAGCTTGGAGCGTGGGGGGAATCGGTTCCCTCTCATAGGGAATCGGTTCCCTAAGTGTAAAATTCAAATATTTCGACCGTTGAACAGGGGGAATCGGTACCCCATTGGGGGGAATCGGTTCCCTCCGAGCATTCTGGAAATCTCGGAGCCAAACCATTCAGGGGGGAATCGGTTCCTCCTATGGGGGGAATCGGTTCCCTCTGAGCAATCTGGAATTTTTGGCTTTGAATTGGTTCGAAATACTTTGTAAAATTATTTTGAAATTGTTTTATGATTAAAACTTAATTTTACACTTAAGTAAGGATTAAAATGATTTTTGAAATATTTGGAGTAATGTTTTGATATTCGAATAGTTATATCGAATATACTTAGAAAATCATTTGGAAAATCTTAAAATCCATTTAACTTAATTTGTTATATCGAAATATCAAAATGTTTCAACAGACTTGGACAACTCGGTCAAGGGCTCCAATTCGGCTGACTCGGCTCAACTCGGTGAGTCAACTCGATTTTCTGGCAGCAGTCTTCCGGCGGTGCGTGGCGGTGCGTCAGAACTCAGATTGAGAAAATTCTGGCGGCGGCGTATTCCTCTCGTCGAGACCTTCGATCTTTCCAACTCGCTCTGATACCATTTTGTTGGAAATAAAACACTCACACAAACAATTTTTATTGAAACTCAAACAAATATTACAAGAGTACTCTCACTCAAAAACAAGAACTACAACTCACTCTTATAAAACTTTGCTTCTTCACTCACTTAGAAGCTCTTAATTTTTCTTGATGCTTAAAACTAAAATGGGAAGGGGTATTTATACTACTCAAGAACAATCCTACACCACACAAATAAACTAATTTAAACCATTACAAATTCAACAAATATCTAACTCTCACCTAACTAAATTGATGTAAGCAATGACATCATTAATTAAATGATGTAAGCAATGACATCTTTAATTAAATGATGTAAGTAATGACATCAATTTAGTTTGGGTTTAGGTTTAGGCTCCCATAATAGATCAAGTTTATGATCCAACAGGTTCCACTTGAAGCAGATTGTCCCTGCCCCACAATACGTGCCTTTTTTTTTTCATCAGAGATGTTAATAGGGTTATCTTCAGCTTTAAGCTCAACTTCCATTTGGACAGAGGGTAATGGACCAAAAGAATTATCAGTAGGGCCCACATAACTAGGAATATCCTACAACGTGTTTTGCATGTTTGCACGTGAGGAAGTTCCAACGTTATTAACGTGGCTAAACAATTCATGCAAACTTAACTGCTCTCTAACTTCCACCCCCACGTTAAGAGCCACTACGCCAGAGCCTATAACTTCCTCTCTCAACCACCTGCTCGGCGCCGGCAGACCTCTTCTTCCCGGAGCACGAATAGACAAATCCCAAGTGAAAACTACCTGCTTCGGGTCCATCGATAGACGTAGCGGACAAAACTCTCCCCGTGCCCCAGTTTGCCACAGATGAAGCAAAAGAGAGTGATTTTTACTGAAACCGAGCATAGAATGTCTGTCCTTCCCCAACGCAACATTTTTCCGCCTTTTCAAAGGATTATTAACATTGAGCAGACCCCTAACGCGCAGATACTTTTATTGCCCCGATATCGCTAACTTCGAATCATACTCCAGAAATTGTACAACAAAGTTGCCAAACTGTCGGGCCATTGGCTCAGACATTAAACTCGGCGGAAGATCGTGAATTTGGACCCAAAACACAACGAAATCCAATGGAACTTTCATAGGATCCTCTCTCTTCACCATTCTATTCAGCACGAGTAGGTGGTTATTAAAAAACCAAGGAGAGCCCTCCATGACCCATACCAGATCAACTTCATGATAAAAACGAAAACAAAACCATTTCTCACCCAAATCGGTTATGGAGATACCTCCTAAGGGATGCCACATGTTTTCCTGTGTGTTCCGCATCGACAGAAAGAGCACAACACTTGAAGTTAGGAACCTTCCCACAAGGCATTGAACATATCCATCGGCCACCTCCTCAATCTCCGGGGGTAAGACCAAGGCTTCCTCCTCACCATCATCAATAGATAGCGTGGCCAATTCAGCATCCATGCAAGAAGAAACCAAAAAGCGCCACGAAAAAACCAGGAAGAAATCAGAAGAAAGTGGAGGCCAACAGCGTGCAAAAGTGCAGACAATTTTACAATTCCCTCCAAATTTGATGGGGGTAACGAAGAAACTAAAAAAACACGTATTTTTAAAATATTCACATATTAACATTTAAAACAAAATAATTAATGTTATTGATAAATTATAACATTATAAAAATGTAGTATTAAATTATGCCAATTAAAGTATAAGGACTAAATATTAAATGTTAGGACAATAAGGGACGATGACCAAAATTTGGCATAAATAAAATAGTTTCACTTTCTCGATTACAAAATGACCATACGCCAACCGTGACTCTCGCCAACGCTCTCAGTCTTTTAATCTTTATTCTTCTGGAAAGTTATTCCAATGTACAATCCCCCTCTTTGAATCAAATCATCGAACAGTTCATACCGGAGTTTAAATCTATAATTCAGAAACCCCGAAACCTGAAAAGAAAAGAAATCACTAAGAACAACAGAATTGGCGAGGAAAAAACAAAGCTTTGATTGAGCGGGAGATGATACTACCTGTAGTAAAGCTCGGGACCCTCGCGTTAAAAACCGCTTGCAAACCCATTGCTAGTCGTCTCAAGAAAGAGGCTGGTTTACATCCCAGATTCCGCCAACTCATCATCAATATTGCCCAGGTTCCCCTTCTTTTCTGTATCTCTTTCCTCTTTTGTTTTTTTATCATCATATATCTGAGTTCTTAATTCTTTATTGTTGTTTTAGAACTAGTTTGTTGTTCTTTTTGGATGTTTCTATTACTGGGCATTTAGTTTTTGAACTCTGGTTAACGTCCACTGCACCCCCCCCCCCACCCAATTGTTGTTTCTTTCTTCTTCTTTACTGTTGTTAAAGTACCCTGTATGTTTCCATCTGCGATGATTTATGCTTATAGTAAGATGTGATATCCAATGATGGAAATGTTTTGAAGTCTGAACTATGAGATTTAAACATGTTAACTAGTTCCATTTTATGTTGTAACACTCTCAATTGAACACATTTTAACTTGTAAGGCCTTTTTTTATGTTGGAGAATCATTTTTGCTATTTAACATGCTGATAATTATTACAATTTAGCCATTAATGTTCAGAGTATGACTTTGGTGTTGATTTCGGTATGCGATCTATAGGTAGAGTTTCTTGTCTATTTATGGGATTTCTTCCCTGAGTGAGATTGTGAGAATGGTCATATTTTGCATGGCATGCTCTTTGGTGTTGATATTGTTATGCGTTCTACAGGTAGAGTTTCTTGTCTATAGTTCAAAGATGCTTTTTATGGGATTTCTTCCCTGAGTGAGAATGGCCATATTTTGCATCGCATGCTCTTCTTCTTTAATGTTGTTGAAGTGCCCTGTATGTTTCCATCTGCGAATTATTTTTGCTTATAGTAAGATGTCATATCCAATGATGGAAATGTTCTGAAATCTGAACTATGAGATTTAAACATGTTAATTATTTCAGTTTTATGTTGTCCCTTCACTCCCGATGAAATTCAGGAGATTGCCTTTTATTACCCAGATTTGCAGATTGTAGTTTGTTTGTTTTTTTTCTCATTTTAAGGATGTTTTATTTTGTATGCTGAATCAGGCAAATCATCGATTCACAACCAATATGCAAAGACGGATTTATGGTCGTGCAACTGATGTTGCGATACGCCCTATGGATGAGGAGAAAGCTGTCCAGGCTGCTGCTGATCTTCTGGGAGAGCTCTTCGTGTTCACGGTACTTTCACTGTTTGTTTTACTATCTTGGCATCTTGTTCAAACTTACCACTATGATCTGTAATTACAATTCCTCCCGTCTATAGTTTGGGACCATTTCTTTCACTGAAAAAGCAAGTGCTAAAAAACAGAGCATCTTGACTATTTTTAAAAAAAGGCTGGTGTTCTTTATTAATCACCGATTTAGGTTCTGTTTGCCTAAAGTTCTGATGTAGCAAATGAATGGACATATTGAAAAGCCTGGTTGGTTTGGTAAATGAACCCTACTGATGAATGGTTTGAATTTTCAGCTTAATTAGTCTACTTGCTATGGCTTTATGTAGATCAAAGATGGAATTTTATTTGATTCAAATTGACCTAGGAACACATAAACACATGCCCGTGACTTTTAGGTTCTATGATCATCGAGATCTGGTAGGAAACAATACTCTCCTTATTTTTAATGAGCCACATGCTCTGATATGGCCATAACTTGATTGAGTATTGTCGAAAGGGCATATGAATGAGAGGCTGCTCTCACATAGAATCCTCTTATTGTTAACAGTGAGTTCCCTCGAGCAAACTTCTAAGAAAATTGCATTTCACTATTAAACAGCTCGGATAGATGCTAAACTGCTAATAGCTTTTAAGGTGAATAGAAACACTGGGACACAGAGAATCACTTCACTGTTTTTGATTGATGAATTTTACTCTCATACTTAGCTTAAGGGTGAAGCATATTTTACTGATACATACTTTTCCCACTTCTAATTCTTACATAGCTTATGGCACCAAAACTTTCTTTTCTTAAAATTCTCTCTCTTTCTTTAGGTTGCAGGAGCTGCTGTTATTTTTGAGGTACAAAGAAGCTCCAGATCTGAAGCAAGAAAAGAGGAGCAGCGCAAACAAGAATTGGAGGTATTTATTTATCTCCTATAGATGTTACTACACTAACGGATCCTTCTCTCTCATCCAGTCATCTGTTTTATTGTTTGATTAAATCTTTCTACAATGTCTTGTTGACTTTCAAGGCAATTAGCTTTTAGTACTCAACACCGATGGATTCAATCTTGCAATAATGCACTTTGAAGTGATTAATTTTTTATTAATGGTGTGTTCGTGCAATGATGCTTGCTGCCATCATAGTGAGGCAGATGCATATGTATTCTTGGTTTATTATAGCTCATCGTTTATCCATTGTCTACTGTTTAGGCAATGAAACAAAAAGATGAAGATCTAGCACGAGAAGTTGAGCTGCTTAAACAAAAAATTGAAGATCTGGAGCAGCTAGCCAGAGGACGGGGATTAGCCGGTTTATTCCACACTAGGCACACACATGGTGCCGAAGGTGTAAAAGCCAAACCATCTTTGATTATTCCAGGAGCCAAGCTTGAATCTGAATTTCAACGTAAGAACTAAGTTAGCCGAGCTATTTCGAAAAGAGCCTTCAGACGTTAAAAACGTATTTGAGAGAGAGAGAATAACATTTACCTGATATCATGCAATTGGCATGGTTCTGAAAATCATTCTCAGTTTGTTTTAGACAACCGGGAGTTGGAAAGTTTCAGTTTAGTTCAAGTCCCAGCATTTGATTGAAACAATTGCTATAAGGCTTGATGTTGGATAATGGATTGGTGTAGATGGTGGAGCTTTTGGGATTTTACACATGTTATAAAGCATGGCAGATCATTATGATAAATTCTTACCATTCATCGATTCTCCCATGAGATGTTTTTTCACCATTGATTTAGATATATAGTAATTCATGTTAAAATAGTTCAAGTATAGCAAAGTAGATAAATGAATCATGTAATTTTAGTGAGAAGGAATTCTAAATCTGCTGCTTTAATCGCAGATGCAGTGCAAAAATTCATTATTTAACTTTAAAGCATTTTTTAAAAGTATATTTGTTGAGTTCAAGTACCCTTAAACATGCAATATCTATGATTTAGGAATTTAATTTGATCTGTATATCATGTTTTACAGAGGAGAACATTAATCTCACATAGAAAGCTATTTCAAATTTAAAAGTGACAATAGAATAAAAATTTATTATAGAATATTTTTAGTAGTATAGAATAAAATAATTAATCATTTTAGTAATATGTCAAAATTCAAAACATCAAATTAATTTTTAATAATTAGTATGTAAATAAATATGAATTGATTGATATGGAAAGAGTTCTCTTTGCATGTGGATAAATATATAAAGAGATGAACTTCCGCAGTTGCATGGAACCTTTCACACGATAATATTCCTCTTTATTCAAGCCAAAGTCTCTTCAATTTCAGGAGATTTTCCCGATATATCACCGGTGACCGGTAATATTATCGATCTAACACCGGTCAGACTATATTTTCTGATTTAACACCCTTAGTAGTAAAGCGCGCCCCCTGTACCGCGCTATACGGTGAGTTGGCGTCACGTGGGTATAGCGCGGCCCCTGCAGCGCGCTATACGCCACATAGGGGTATAGCGCGGATCATGTACCGCGCTATACCTTTACTGCATAATTTTATATAGCGGGGCAGGTATCGCGACATACCTTTACTCCTGGCATAATTTTATATAGCGTGGGGCAGGTACCGCGTTTTGTATAACTTTCCTCGCTATAAATATCATTTTCCGCCGGTTAATTTCTCACATCTCAACTTATAAATTAATACAACAATTCTGTCAATGAATCAATAATTCTGGCAATCTTCTCATATTTTATTTATAAGTTCGTGAGATTTTTCGTTATAAGGTAATTTTGTTATAATTTTTATTATATTTATTGTTTATTATGATTATTTGAAAAAAAAATATTATACTAATTATTTTCAATTAATTTTTGTGTTTGTAAAATTGGAAAGCGGGAGCATACGTCGAAATAGTTTTGCGGTGCAGGTAATAATATTAAATTATATTATTTAATTTATTTACGTTGATGTGTAAAAATTTTATAGTGTTATATGTTCGTTCATATATAATTTATTAAATCAGGTTTGTTTCATTTATTTTTTTTGCAGATATAATAGTGCCGCACTTTTAAACTCAAATAATGGCGCGACTTTCAGCTATTATTTATTATGATGGTGAAATTCGAGAAGATGAAACCGGCGTTGTTTTCGTATCAAATGAGCGTGTTAAAATATCATTCAAGAGACATAACTCTTGAGGAGCTGATAACGAAGATTTCGAGGAAGATTCATGTTGGAAGTAGTAGAAGAGTGTCGTCGTTGCAGTATAGATTTCCAACATCATTGTTGTCATTAACTTATACAGCGTTCGAACTTTCGAACAATGATGATATTGAAATGATGGTTGAAGCTCAAAGTAATTATTCAGACGCCCCTATTGAGATGTATGCACATTTTGTTCAAGTGTGTGCTATTCGGGGTCAATCATTAAGCTCCCACTATGGGCTGACTGAACAAGTTGATCAAGTTGACAGCCCAACGACAGTAATGTGTAATGATTTTAATGCCATAATGGGGAGACATTCATCTGCAACTCCTTACGATATGTACCGAGGTAGGTCGACGAACAATCCGTATGGCAACATCGCGTCCAGTTCAAGGGGAAGGCATTCATCTGCAAATCCCTTTGACCTTAATATGGAGATACCATCGACGTAACCATCTGTGCAGTTTCCATTTGACGCGATGGCTTCAAGCTATAGGGAGAGGCATTCGACTGCGAGCTTTTTCGATCTCAATGTCGATATGCCTTCCAGTTCAAGGGGAAGGCGTGCAAGTAGTAGGTTCTTCGACCTAAATGTGGAGAGCATGGAGGAACCATCATCTCCACCAGAAGAACCGCTTCGTGATCCTGGTGCGGATGGTGCTGAGACTGGACTATTCATTGACCCAGAATCACCGCAATTCAACTCCGATGATGATGAAGTTCCAGGAAATGTGGCACAAACTGACCCTCCTGCACACATGTATGAAGCTGATTATGGTGCAATGTACGGGCCAGAATTTGCGGATATGCCTCATCTCGATGACTATGGGTATTACTCATCAATAAATAATGGTGAGTTATCTTTAGGCATGGAGTTTTCAAGCAAAGAAGAAGCGATGATGGCTATCAAAAATTACAATATCTGTAATTATGTTCAGTCCAGAATAGACTGCTCCACGACCGAAAAATATGTATGCTACTGTGCCCAGTGTGAAAACGGATGCAATTGGATGGTTCGCGTATCGAAGAGGAAGAGGAAATACAACAGATGGGAACTAACAGTATACAACGGTCCTCACACATGTTGTGCTGGAGGGGTCCCAGCTTGGACTCTGAAGTGATATGCCAAGCCATCATGCCCATGGTCAAAGCAAGCTCTCATATAGCTGTTGCAGTGTTGATTTCAGCTATACAATCGCAGTATGGGTACACTGTCTCCTATAAAAAAGCTTGGTTGGCAAAACAAAATGACATTGTCAAACTTCATGGTGAATGGGATGCATCTTACAACGAACTTCCAGGTTGGTTTATGCTGGTGCGAACGTTGAATCTTAGGACAATTGTGGACTTCGAAACCTCCTTTGCATACCATAATGATCGAGTTCTTCGCGATCGATGCCAATTCTACCGGGTTTTTTGGAGTTACCCACAGTGCGTTAATGCTGTCAAATACTGCAAGCCTGTGGTCCAGATCGACGAGACTTTCTTGTATGGAAAATACAAGCAAGTTTTATTATTGGCAGTTGTCCAAGATGGCAATCACAACATTCTTCCAGTTGCTTTTGCTCTTGTCGAAGGAGAAGATACAACTTCTTGGGCTTTTTTCCTCCGAAAATTACGGGCACATGTTATCACGAGGGAAAACATCTGTGTCATTTCAGATCGCGGAGCTGGGATCAAAGCAGCAATGAAGTCTTTGGGTCCAATGTGGCAACCACCCTTTGTCCAACATAGGTATTGTCTTCGACACATTGCCGCGAACTACCATGGAAGGTACAAGAAGAATGATGAGCGTCAATTAATTGTGCGCATGGGTAAGTGAAACTTAGCAAGTTTGTTTTCTTTCGATCGTTTTAATTTTGCAAAGACAACAAGTTAGTAAGTTATATATTTTTTGATCATGTTACGAACTACTTCCTCGAACGTTTGAATCAATGTTTCAAGAGTTGGGGGCGAATAACGAGGAAGGATATGATTACATCAGCCTCATCGATAAAGAAATATGGACGAACGCATATGATGGTGGATATCGATATGGACACATGACGACCAACTTGGCAGAGGCAATCAATTCAACCTTAAAGGGTGCACGTCACTTACCAATAGCGGCTTTGGTAAAGACTACATATTTTCGTTTGGGGTGCTTTTTGTGAAGCTTGGGGGACAAGCTCAAACCTGGATGCATGGCAGTCATGTTTATCACCCTAAATTAGTTGCAGATCTACAGAAAAAAAATTGTTGCATCAAATGGAATGTCTGTAACAAGCTTCTCTAGAAGGCATGAAATGTTTCGTGTCACAGAGTTGTCGCGACCTCTTCAAGGGATTGAAGCTGTGTCGTTAAGAGTAAATCTAAGGGACAAAACGTGCGATTGCGGGTTTTTTCAAGCTCTGAAGTATCCATGCTCTCATGTGATAGTAGCTTGCTCGCATACACGTCAAGACTATAACCATTTTGTGGATCCCGTATACCTACTATCTGAAGTTTTTAAGGTATACGAATTTGAGTTTCCCCCCCATAGGTAATGAAGAAGACCCTGATGAGGTTCAAGATTGGCTTCCGATTGTACCAAATCCGAGTTTATTGAGGGAGCGTGGACGTCCAAAATCCAATCGAATTCATTGCGATATGGATATTAGAGAAAGATCTAGACAAGACATAAGATGTGGGCATTGTAGAAACCCAGGACACACTAGAAAAACATGTCCACTTCTGTTGTCATCAAGTAACAATTGTTGAGGAAATGATGTATTTTATTATCAAATAATAATTCTTCTACTTTAATTTGCATTTACTTCAAGTTAATGTCATTTGATAATCACCGATGAAGATTAAAAAAACAAACACAATCATTAAATTTTAACAAACTAATAACAATAAGTATTAAATGGTAAATGATAACCAAATTACAATAACTGATATTAAATGGTAATAAAAAAAACGAACTGAAATACATTAAAAAAGTCCAACAAATTTAACAAAATAAAGTAAGTATTAAATGAGAAATAATAAAAAATTATAATTTAACAAAATAAAGTAAATACAAATATAATAAAAAACAAAACTATCGATGCCTGTGACGCGAATATGTTCCGCAGGGCGGTGGCTGTCGGTCTCGAGGAGGATTTCTTCGTATCACTGGTTCTGACTCCTCGTTGTCATCATCATCACCATCGTCATCGTCGTCGTCGTCGTCGTCTTGCGCAGGTACATGAGGAGCTGATGACGATGAAGCACCTCCATAGAATAAGGACCCTGGAGGTGTATGACTGACTATCCCACCGGCCTGCGAAAACTGGGAAAACTCATAAAACCCATACATCGCTGAGTGTGAAAACTGTACAGGAGGCGGTATCTGTGCTGCGGCCATGGGTGATGAGGTTGAACCCGCCAAATATCCAGCATATGAACCCCATGTCAGATCTACAAACATAGACCAATAATAGCCTCCAGGAGAGGTCA